GACAAGACCAGACCATGCACTGAGGGGTTTTTGCAGCACTACAGTGTTTTCTGTAACCTGATTCCATGCCTTCAGCCAGACACCAGCAAAGCAACCTGAAGTGTAGATTCATCCACCTCCAACCTGACACAAGGAAGGTGGCCACCAGCAGTGCCCTGGGAGCAGGCCAGTGCCCTCCTGACCCCTTGGTGCAGTGCTGAAAGCAGTGCTGTGGGAGGAGCAGTGTTCTGTAGTGCTGGAAAATTACTGGATTTCTCTAAAAGGTCCATCTCTCTATGCTGGCAGTGGGCTCAACATGCCCTTTCTGGCACTAACAGCCTCATGTCCAAAGCCTCATGTTTTCAGGACTGGCTGTGCACCTTTGCCCATGCTACCAAATGCTACCAAGCATTTGGCTCAGTAGCTCTCTGGTCACAATAAAACATAATTCCACTCATGAGAGGCACAAGGAGGGTGGTCTGCTCTCCTGGAATGACAGATTGGTATTTCCAGAAATAGTTTGGAGGTCAAAAAATGTTCCATGTGTAGTGGGAAATGCAATCAAATAGAGGCTGGAGTCTTTTTTGTCTCCTAAACTAGGAGGATATCCCACTGTCTGGAAGTAGTACCTCAAATGAGAGTAAGGATTTAATGAGAGTTACTGCAAGTGAAGGAACTTTGAGATCCAGCTGACATGCAGGTCAGATTTCATTTAGGGTTTGAGTTTGTGTGGATAATTCCTCTCTATGGCTTCAATTGCCTTCACAAATCCATGCCCATAAATGTTTGCACCTGCACAAGCAGCATCCCAAGCCTGGAAATGCACCCCAAACTCTGCTTCCTTCTAGTGCACCTTTTTTTTTTCCTCTGTTTTGTTTAGTTTTTCAAGAGTGGCGACGGCTCCTCCTTTATTTAATGGCTTTATGGGATACACATCGTCAGGGAACCAGAGCTCTTAATTACAAACCTTTTAGCAGAAAATGGACCATCTCACTGTGGTGGGTCCCCTCAGCACCATGGTGCTGCCTGGGAGGCAGCAGACACTGCCTGCCTTCCCACCCATGGGCGTTGGGGCTGGCTGGGAGAGGCTGGAGCTATGGGGATGAGGGTAATGTTTAGGTTCCCAGATTGCTTTTTGAGAAATAACATATTTTTAGCAGATTGAACTGTTACTAAAGGTGTCGGGGTTTGTTCCAAACATCCTGCTTATGGAATGCCTGGAGAACAGGCACGTTTGCAAATACTCTTCCCCTTTAGAGCTGTTTTTCTCAGTCTTCTGTGCCCCCTTGACATTACTGCTCCCAGGAGTAAGATGAGGAAGCCAGCACCTGTAAATCCCATTTGTCCATGCTATGTATGCACACCCCTGTCTGGGACCCAGTGCTCCCCTGAGATGGCAGTGTGTGTGAGAGGTCTGTGGGGACGTGGTCCTGGGATCTTCTCCAGCTCCTCCCTCTCCAGACTGTGGGAATCAGCACCAGAGGCTGCCCACAGCCTCCCCAGGAGAGGCTGTTGCTCTCTAATACACCAGACTTCTACAGCAGGTGAAGACAGGCAGCGCTGCCCCCCTAACCCTGCCCGTTTTAAGGGGGAAAATTAAACCCTGCTCTCCTCTCTCTGCCTCTTGTGATCCGGCAAAGGCCACTCTCAGGAGCTGTCAGCCATGCAAAATAGGATTAATCATAGAATCTTGGAATGATTAAGGTTGGAAAAGGTCATCAAGTCCAACCGTTCCCCCAGCACTGCCAAGGCCACTGCTAACCCATGTCTCTCGAGTGCCATATCCACACATCTCTCAGATCCCTCCAGGGATAGTGAATCCACCACTGCCCTGGGCAGCCTGTTTCAGTGCTTGACCACCAGTGAAGAAATCTTTCCTAATATCCAATCTAAACCCCCCCCTCTGTAAGGCTTGATATGCATACAGGTAACCCCAGGCACCAGGCTGTGGCTAAAGTTTTCAAGAAAATTTATTTTCACAGCGAGGAACACTGCAGTATGTATCCAAATGATCGATACAGCTCGCCATAAAGGCAAAAATGGAAACCTGTTTTGGTGCTTCTATAACAACACCTTTGACATGTGCAGTAAAACCCCGGGCTGAGTTCTCCCCCTGTGCTTTATGACCTACCTGGCCGCTCTGCGGGAGCCTCCAGGCCTGTCTGTGAGAATTTTATCACTTGTAGCAAGGGAGTTACCTCTCAGCAGGCAGATAAAGACAACATACACAGCATCCTTCATGAAAATTAATTCCTTCTCACTTTAAAGCTTTTCTCTGGCAGCAAAAGTTTCCTTGAACAGATGCTAAGCTTTCCCTCCTCACTATTTTTTCTGAAGGTCTTCTGCTTCCACACCCTCCCACTGAGGGAGAGGCTGTTTGGTCTCACCCCATCCCAAACCCAAAGGTAGTTTGGTAGGTTTACATGCGCAGGTGATTATACCCAAAGTGCCCACCCCACCTCAGAGAGCCCTCTGTTTGCCAAGGCAAACCCAGCACACAGCACTGGGCAGCGGGAAGTCAGAAGAACTGGTTTGTCAGCACCACTCAGAGGTTTAACACAGCCATGTCCCCGTAGCATGTCCCACCTTCCCGTGAGCCCCACAGCTCCCCACAGCAAGAGGTGTCAGAGAGAGCAGCTGCCTCAGAGCACCCAAGAGAGATGGTTTTCTGTAGAGGGCAGGGATAGTAAATCAGCGTTGAAGAGCCAACACATATTTATACCCATTTACAGAATCACAGAATGGTTAAAAACCATCTCACTCCAAACTCTCTGCCATGGACAGGGACACCGTCCACTAGACCAGGTTGCCCCAAGCCCCATCCAACCTGGCCTTTATATGCAGGATTAATCAGAGAGGCAGTTTTGTGCTATTATTGTTGTAAGGAATTGCTGCACCCACATGCGGTGATGCTGCTCTGCTCTTTGGGGCTTGTGTGCTGTGGCTGAACCTTGACTCCCCAGGCAGCTCTGCACCTGCCACTGACTCAGCCTGGAAAAGAGGAGACTGAGGGGAGACCTCATTGTAGTCCATAACTTCCCTGTGAGGGGAGAGGAGGGGCAGACACTGATCTCTTCTCTGTGGTGACCAGTGACAGGACCTGAGGAAATGGCCTGAAGTTGTGTCAGGGCAGGTTTAGGTTGGATATTAGAAAGAGGTTGTTCTCCCAGAGGGTGGTTGGGCACTGAACAGGCTCCCCAGGGCAGTGGGCACAGCACCAAGGCTGACAGAGCTCGAAAGCGTTTGGATGATCCTCTCAGGCACATGGTGTGACTCCTGGGGATGGTCCTGGGGATGGTTAATGGTTGGACTCCATGATCCTTGTGGGCCCCTTCCAACTGAGCATATTCTGTGATTCTGTGACTCTCTGCAACTCCAGCTTCCTCTAATTTTCATCACACAGCATAATCATGGAGTTTTTGGCTGGCTTTGGTTGAGTTGTCTTTTGCTTCTCCCCCAGTGCCACCAGTGAGTGCCAGCATCTTCTCATTCTCCTCTGAGCAGCTTCAACACATGCCTGGTCCAGCCACTCAGTCTGGGGCTCCTGGCCACCCAAGGGACATGCAAAGCCAGATGGACCCATGCACTCTGGAACTGAGAGCTTGGCCTGAATATTCACAATTTTTCCCCAAGCATTTAAAACCAGTGTTGTGTTTTGTAAGCTAAACTTCAAGTCAGAAAAGGTGGGGGAGACAGAAAGCAACTGGTTTGTGCTTAGAGGCTGTTGTCCAATGTTGCCATCAGCAATGCCACCACAGTGTCCTACCTGACTGTAGAGACAGCTCTGCCAGGGGCCCCTGCCTGTCCCAAAGCCAGCACCCGGAGCACTGAGCCCACAGGGAAGGAAGAGACTCCCTCTAAAAACAGAGTCAGCCTGGGAGAGACGTGCCCTGCAAATACAGAGGTCAGCTGTGCTGTCCCGTGTGATCCCTTCGAGGCATCAGGTCTTTTGTGCATCAGTTCTAGGATATTAAATCACCCTGTTCATTCCCTTGGTGCTCCACTCTTCCTTCCCTGCTTGGTTTCTGGTCATGGGATGGGAACATTCACCTCTGCCCATGGTAATGAGGCAGGGAGGGCCATGCACATGACTCGCTTCCTCCAGACAAGCAGCCCAGTATTTCACTCCCTCAAAGCCTGAGGACACCAATGTTCTTGGAGAAGTTGCTGAAAGTAAATTGGAGGCACTTTGTTAAATATTTCAAGTGAAAGATACCAGGATTAAATTCCACTTTTGATCTAATCCTCAACTCCCTCTTCAAGGGAAGTGCAGCTTTGCCTCCAGCCCCGTCTGGTGCCTCCATGCTAAATCACTCTGATCCTAAAGTAAATAAAGCTCTTTGAAAAAGGGCAAATGTTTTCTCAGCTGCTCTTCTTCCCTTCAAATGCGTGGCTGATTGAAATTTTTATGTCTGCAGAGAGAACTATATGCAGTCAACAAATGCTTCTTGCTAAGAAGCTGTCTCTACAAGATAACTGGGTTTTGGAAAGTACACTGTGAATCCATGGGATACTCCTGGACCACACTGCACCCCTTACAGCTTTCTCTTCTCCTTTCCTTCAGTGCTTTACATTTTATGAACTCCTAAATAAACTGATTTAAGTCACTGCACATTAATCTTGGTATGTCAACAGTTCAGGCTCCTGGTGTCCTCAAGACGTTGTTTCTGCTCAGCCCTGGAGCTGTGTTTGCTGTGGGAGGCAGCAAATAGAAACAGCCCTTTGGTATGAGATTCAGCAGCAACTCAAAGGGCCAGAGCCCTGGGGTTGGGTGCCAGGCTGCCTTCTCCCAGCTGCTGTGCCCTCACCCATCCTGGGATGGCTGTGTGCTCCTTCTCCTCCAGCTCCAGTTCTGACACTGGAGCTGAAGCCTAAAACGGTCAGGAAAACCTTTCTGCCAGTTATGATGGCAGAACACCCCAGAACAGCTGCCCCACACAGCGTTGTTGCTCCATCCAGTCTTCATCCCTACAGAAATCCTCAAGGCTGTGAATCAATAAAAGTCAATACAAGCCATTCTATTGACTTCTTTATTTTTATTAAACTGTTTAAATATAAGCAAACCTGCTGTGCTGTTTTTCCAGTCGTCCCCCTGATGTGCTGCAGGGTTTGGGGACGGCACCTCATAATTTAGCTCAAGCTAGTTCCAGCCTCCAAGTTTGTAATAATGCACAGCCTGGGCACGACTTTGTGAATCTGTCGCTCTCAGAGACAAAACGTGAGCTTGAACATGTAACTACTTTTAGCAGTGCTGTTCTGCTCCTCCAGTTAAGCCATAAAACCCAAGGGCACAGATTTTCCAAGCACCTTTTCCCAGCTTCAAGTAGTCTACCATTAGCCACAGATTACAGGCTCGTGGTGTGCATCAGCCGGGGAGTGCCGGCGATGTGTACCCAAACCCTGACGGCAGCAGCCTTTCAGCAGGACAGGCTGTGAACACAACCCTTGGAGCTGTTTGCTCCCTTTCAAATGCCAGCCATGCTTTCTCCTTTTCCACCCTGTATAAATGCAGGCATCAGCCCTAACCAAAGGGAAAACACACCAGGCAGTGGGGCACGATGCCGTTCGGGGGAGCACCTGACTCCGCCGTAGCCACCACATGGTTTGCATGGGGTTGCCTTCTCTGGGGGAGAAAACAACCTGCTGGGTCAGGTGGCCATGGGGGTCAGACTTCTTTGCTCAGGAGCAATGCCAGTGAACTGAGAGGGAAAGCTGACAGCACAAGGCAAGTGAGTTAGCTGGCAGATGCTTGCCAGGCTTAAAAAGGACAGACTGGCCATTCCTGGCTGAGGAACTGAGAGCAAAGTATGTTCTAGCAGCTTAAGAGTGATTTAATTGTTCTTTTGAAGTGCCAAGGAGATCAAAATAAAAGGCTATTTTGGGGGGGGCTTTAATCCCCTTCTTAGATTACCAGAAAATCCAGGCTCAGCTCTGGTGGGAAATGGGAACAAACTGTCCCCGTGGTCACTACTGAACAGCCCCCAACACCTCCATGTTAGGAGTAAAAAGGCAACACCACGATACTGAGAGGACCTCAACTTTCAGGTAGCTCGATGTTGCCTGAACAGTGTCACAGAGCAGTGGGAGAATGGATCTGCATAGCAGGGACCGGCTGCAGGATCTCCAGCTCCTGCCTGATGAGAGTCAGGTGAGTCACTGCGAGGGCTGGTCCTGCCAAGTGGCCCATCCTCTCAGCTCCCATCACATTAGTGACACTGAAGGTCCCTGGTGCTGCCCATAGTCCTCCAAAGTCCAAACCAGTTGCCCTTCAGATGACTGAAAGGGTCCCAAGAGCAATCCCAGCATGAGTCACATTCAGCAGGGGAAGGGGAATAGAAAACACACCTTATCTTGCTTAAACACAGAGCTCAACAAAAGCAACAGTGAAGGTCACAAGATAGGGCTAGAAGTGGAAATTTGAAACAACAGGGGATTGTATTTGACGCCAGTAGAGATGTATCAGCAAGTCTTCCTGCAGTGATGGAGAAGACAAGCTCTGGTGCTGTCTGCTGGTCTGTGGGCAAAGAGACGACATTTCTCCTCAGTTAAAGCTCCGAAATATGCTTGTAAGGAAGCTGGAAATTCCCTTCCCAACTCCTTATTTTTTAAATTCTGTGAAAGGGGAAGCGTTTTTTTCTCATCTGACCTTGCCTGGACATGGTCTTCATGTCGTGTGATTGACCCAGGGGTACTCTATTTCCCACAGACTCTGCTTGAACATGCAATACACTTCCAGGTCCTGGTGACGGTGTAAAGTTCAACCAAGGATCGCTCTGTTTAGCTGTGCTGGGGGCTCATAATCCCAGTGGGTCAAAATGTTTAGAGTTAAAGAGGTTACAGGCTTTTCAGAGCGAGTATTTAAACTCCAGCTGTCAAACCACTTGCATAGAAGAAATTTATAGAGTCAGCCAGCAGTACATTAAATTGCTGTTTTCTTGTCATTAATCTAGTAGCATGCATTGTTTTCACATTGCCCTAAGAGAATAATTAATCTGTGGCAAATCTATGCCTGTAAAATTATAAATAGTAGACTTGAAAAAACGATGACAGTGAAGAAATTCAAGGGGACACACATTGACAAGAGCCACATCAAGAAGGCTCTTGGCAAAGCTGTTGGAACGCCTTCAGGGACTGATCTTTTCAGAAACTCATCTAAAGGACTTACAATCTGCTTCATATTCAGTTTAATTGTGCACAAAAAACCCCCACTTGCAGACTTTGCACATTAAAAGGAGAATAAAAAAAAAATACAGGCAGAGCTTTTTCTCAGGGTCTAAAGAACAACTCTGAAAATGAGGAAGTTTGGTGTTGCAATTTCCCAGGAAACTTCAATCTCACTCCCTGTCGCTATTGTTCTGTACTTTGGTCTGAAATACAGATGCAAGTCTGATAAATTAACGCCTTCACAGACTGTTTTCTTTCTGTTTGCAGGAGAAAAAGCACTGCAGGAACACAGGTGACATCTGCTGCAAGACAAAGACTATTTTCTTCAGTATTGCTTTGGAGAAGGTGAACCTGCTGCCAGTGTTTGACACAGGAGAGGTACAACTCAGGCTGTGACTGGAGCAAGATCATGTCTAGGACAGGATAAGCCCTGTCAAATGCTCATCACTGAAACTTCCAAGCCAAGAGAGCTTTTCTGCTCCTCATCTTTGTGATAAAGCAGGTATTTCTATGTAGGTCTGCTATAAACAAACAGAGAATGAGGTTGGCGCCGGAGGTGAAGGATGGTGGGATAATCCTTACTGGAGGCGAGTTCTTCTGTCAACAAAGGAGAGCTGAGGCTCAGGTTCCTCCAGGCACTACTCTCTGGACCTTTACATTCCCTACTGCTATAGCACACAGGCCACTCTCCTCTGCAAAAGGCTCTATAACCACAAAAATACTATATGCCATTTCCCCACCTCCATCCAACCCGTTCTCCCTCCTCCTGCTTCTTCCTAGTCATTTCCCATGCCTCCACCTGACCCTGCCTCATCTTTTCCCTGTGCTTCCAGCTTTTCTGGTGGGACAGCAAGAAGACAGCTAAAGCCCATCTGGATTTTCTGTGTGCCTAACAGGGTGAGCAGCAGCCCCGTGTCCCCGTGCTGAGAGGAGGTCTGCCCCCCACCCCCCGTGACTGCTGCCCTTCAGCAAAAACACTGGACTGAAAGGTCACTGGGGACAGGGAGCAACCCCCAAGACAGTTTGTGTGTAGCTAAGTCTCACTTAGAACATTCAGTGTGAGGAAAACAGCTTAAAAAAAATGAAGGCAGCTTTTACTACAAGCAGTGTTCTCAAGCAGATCATTGGAAGCACGCTGGGGGAAAAGGATGAGATGGCTGGTTTGGATGTTTTCAGATTTTGATGCTGGCTTTCGGTATGGAGCAGCACAATAGTACTACAGTACTAACTTTGGTACTTGTTTTTTCTTGGTTTTCTTTAACAACTAAATAAATTAGACCTAGTCCTAGGATCTTCACCAATCATTTAAAAGGAAAATGTTTATCGGGGGGATAAACAACCAACTCTGATGTCTCCCATCAGGTAGGACTGGCCAAAAGAGAAGAGGGAATAGAAAAATCACAGAGCCCCAGAATTGCTGAGATTGTAAAGGACCTCTAGAAGTACTCTGAAACGCCTAAACATAACAGCTAGGACCGAACACAACATAAAAACTTGGCTATATCATGCTCAAGACTGTTACTTTCCAAATGCAGAGCTGTGTGTGCAATTCTGTTTGTTTTGTTGTTTATTTTGGTGGCAAGGCTGCTGCTGCTGTGGTTATTACAGGAGTGAGAAGATCAAAAGATCATCCTTTAACACCAAGTACAAGATGAGCAACACACCATTCAGCCCCAGTATGTATTTTGCAGGGACTTGCAAATGCAAGCAGACAGACAAAAGCCAGAGAAGTCTGAAACATATTCGAGGGGACCAAAATCACCTCTTCATTATTGGCAGTTTCCAGGCCGAGCCTTTGTCTGCCTCTGTAACCCCCTTCCCACCCACACACATTCCTTTCCAGCAATGCTGCTTTATTTGGCTTGTCATTATCTTTTTGTTAAATCCACTTAATTGGTACATTTAACTCTTTATGTTCCTTAGTATTCTCTCCGATATCATTAGTTTACTGAAAAAGCAGCCGTAACCTTAAGTATTACATTTCAAAACAGCATCCAAATTGAGAGAGGTCTTGCCAGTCCCAGTGTCAGACTGTACTGCTTCAGGAACTCCCATACACTCCATAAAACACAAGGTATGATAAGGCAAGCTGGACTTGATGAGTTGTGAAGCTGTCCAAGCCAAAGTCTGCACACAACCAGGGTACTTCCAGAAATCCAAAGTCTACTTTTCCACAAGCTCCGTTAGGACAACACAGCTGCATCCCCCCTGCTGTGGACTACAGAGCTTTTCATGCCTCTGTTGCAGATGGGAGGGGATCCTCTCTCTCCTGCTCAAAAGTGATTAGTGTAATTCACTGTGTGTTCTGTACCTGCTCTAAACTTCCATAGCCGGATCTACCAAGAATCTAAGGAAGAAAATCCCAGCTGTAAGGGGTGCCAGCAGAACCCCTAATGCCAATATAGTTACATCAGGAAGGGGAAAAAAATTAAATATTCTTTTGGCAGTTTGGGATTATTTGGGGAACTGCTGCAAGCTTTACATACATAAAAATGCCCCAGCCTCAGGGCACCATCATCTGCATCCACACTGGGAACTTGTCAGTATAACCCATCCCAGGGTCTCCCTACCCACTATCAAAGGCAGCACATGGCTTTGATATGGAATGCAAGGCTCTCTCCTTGTCAGTGAGTGTTTTTGTTGGGAGATTGTGGATTGGGGGAGGTTGCCCTTTAAGGGTTTTGACCCACGAGAATTGCTTTACTCCTGAAAACGTACTTGTAGACCAAGCTGGTATAGCACCCTTCACTGGGGATGCACTAGGGCTAAAGCCAGGCCCAGTACCCATACACCCAGACATCAGCCAAAGTGCAAAGAGCTAGAGCAGCCAAAAGCAGGAATGCACAAGGATCTAACCCCTACACATCCTCTGCTAGGGCTTCTGCTGGTCAGAGCACAGCACTACTAACAGCTAGCAGAGATCCTGCCCACAGATAGTACCAAAAATCAAGGCTCTGCTTTATTCTCAAACACCTTTGTAACTCCTGTATGGAAGAGTAAAACCCCTCTAAATATTTGGGAGAGAAATCAGGAAAAAAACCCCAGCAAAACCTCCCATAGTGCCACATGTTCTTAATCCAGAAGGGGTTTTTTTCTGTGTTAATTGCCACACTCCTGGGAGCAAGGCACTGAGCAGGGCATCTCCTTGAGGCTTTGGCAGAGAAGAGGCTCCACAGTCTTTCCCTGCTGACGTCAGCGAGGCCCTACATCTGTCAGTGAAAACAGCACATTTCTGACATGGCAAGAACATGGGTTAAATTCCAGGCATGAACTGGTTGTAGTTTTAACATGTTAACATGCTCTACCAGGGGAAAAGCTGAAGTATTTTTAGCATGGCCAGAGTGTTTGTCTCTGCACTGTTCTGGCCTTTTTTGGAATTGTTAACTCTGGAAACAAATACAATAGCCTGTGCAATAGTGAAACACCACCTATTTCTTTTATTGTTTGCCACAAAGAAGACTGCGAGTTGTACTTCCAAAGAGATTAAAAGAGAAACATACACCAGCTACTTTTGCCACAGCTCACCCCCTTCACAGTGCCAGCCAGTTCACTTACTGTTTCCCTGTTTCTGCTCATGCCCCCTGACCTTTCCTACTTACACGCTTAGCTCCGACAAAATCTCAGTGGAAAAACCATCTCTCTTCATGATGAAATTCCACCCCGAGTTGTTGCTTGAAGGCGTTGCCCCTCGCTCTCCTGTTGGAATGTGTGTGAGTGCAGTAAGAGGGGGCAACAAAACACACTGTCGTGCTGCATCAAGTGCAACTGCCCTCTCCTCCCGCCCCTCACACGGCTGCTCAGACCGATTTCCAACACGTGTCAGGGAGAAGCATTTGTTGACAAAACGTTTGGGTTTATCCTGTTAAAAACCCACCGTGCTGTGCTGGGGCAGAGCCCAGCTAGTCAGTTAGGGATAAAGGAGATGAACTTTAAGCACAAACCTAAGGAGACAAGAATTAACACAAGGCAAGTCTGAGGACTGAAAGGGGAATCACATGGAGCGAAGGAGGGACTCTCCCCCTCTTCTATTTTCTTATCCCATTTCAAATAATATTCCCTTCCTCCTCCCCTCTGCCTGGCACTAGCATAACCGTGCAACACAGCTGTAAGGAACAGACATCTGACATTCCATGCTGCACATGCCATCAGCGTGCCCAGGCACTGGCAACATCCAGACCACACATGCAAGTTAATCAGGAAAACAAGACTCTTGAAAGAATTAATGGTCAGAGAGGCTCCTGCGGCTGCAAAAGGAGCAGCAGTGGTTGATGATCTGCTCCTAGATGAAGGCAGAGGAGAACAAGCCTTTTGTTTGTCCCAGTTCTTCTCTTCCACCTCTTCAGAAATTGCCATTACCAATCTGGAATTACATCTCCAGTCACTTCTTGTTGCTTGCGGAGTGGGGGAGGAGATGGGGCAGGGGGGGTGCACTGGGCAACTCGCACTCATCTCTCAGGCAGCAGGACAAAGAAGATGGCCTTGAGGAAGTGACCAAAGCTGCAAACAGCAGCCACGAGCCAGTGGGAGCGAAGGCTGGGGTCAGTATTCACCACACATTTTGTGATGTCTGCCTAATGAGGAGGGAAGAGAGATCGTCAGAGAGAGGTGCCCACATCAGCCACCGCTGCAGGCTGTCCCAGCCCCACAACCCACAGCACCCACCACTGCTGCAGCACCAGATGCTTGCTCTGACCCTTCCACACACCAAAACTTATTAAATCAGGCCCAAGAGCCCTGCAAAATACACTTTCCTCACTCCCCATCAACAAGGCAAAGTGTCCCCCTTTTCAGCCACCACTGAGGAAAGAAATGCTGGACAAAAAGATTGTCCAGCATTTTCCATTTTGAATAGCTAAATACAACTTTCTTTCCCTGTTTGAAAGGTTTAGGAAACTTTGGCAGTATCAGCATTCCCATCCTTTTCTGTAAAGCCGGATGCTTCCCAGAGGTTGTCCTGTTTAATATCAACTCAAGTTGCTTGCACTTTTTCTCTTGCCTTAGTGTTTTCTTTGGAAGACAAGCAAGCAAGCCAACCCCCGATTTAGACCTAAAGCAATGCAAGCTTTGTGTGTGGAAATATGTGTGCTGGCAGAGATGCCTCCCAGACACATGGGTCAGATTTAAAGATCGCTTGGGCTGCTGGTTTCAAGTGTTAACAAGAAGAGAAGCTGGCCTGCAACGAATAAAAAATAACAACAACACAGTAAATTGATGAAGACAGGCTCTCCACCTGGCGTAGGGAGGAGAAGGTGGAAAATACCTGGAGGGTAAAGTGAACAGGACAGAGGTAGAAAGAAAACTGCATTTTCTGGTGGAGGAATCAAAATTAGAAGCTCTGCCAGTGATATAACTGAGTTGTGGTTAAACTTCAGCCTAGCACAAGGAGATGTGGACTGTGGTTGAGTAACAGGGGGTGCAGGCTCTAAACCCTGAGATGTTCATCCCCAAAACAGGACATGAGAGATGATGAATACCCCAATAATCTTCTCCAGTCCTTCTGCCTCTGTTGAAGACATGGGTGAGCCTCGCCTCAGCAACTTGGATCATTATTAGAAGGAAGCAAAAGGCGGCTGAAGGGACAAATGCTGGCAGCTGGTTAGTGAGCACAGCCCACACTGACCGACCCCTTCATCACCTACAGACCAAAGCTCTGCTGAGAGCAGCCACGTGTTCCAGCAGTTCCTCCCCACAGTGTCTGGAAGGCTGGCATGCTGCAGCTCCCCACACTGCTGATCTCCTGGGAGCATCAGGAGATGCTGAGCCCGTGAATAACCGACAAGCAGAGACTGCAGGAGGAATGAATACAGGCACGTAGGGATGGGAAGAAACAGGATGACAAGAGGAAGCTGAGTCAGCACCAAGGTGTGGAAATGTTGCTGCTTATAGCAAAAAAACATGAGCAAACGTAGCAGGCAGCCAAGGCAGCTAACAGAAGATGCTGCAATGTGGTACCAGTGGTTATAGGTACTTTATTGTGGAGGAAAGCAAAGTGGGTCTCCCTGAACACTTTCAGTGATGGCTTAGCACACTCGCCCTACTTGCATTTTAGAAAAGTCTGAACTGATTCAGCCTGTTCAATTTTAGCGACCTGCACAGTGTCATGTCCAAGACAAAGATGTGTCAAACTGTCCCTTTAGTCGAGAGAAGTCACGACGTGCAGGTAGCTGCATGTTAGGGTACCTGATCCGTGAGAAACATAAGCTGTGAAGGACTTTAGTGACTCATGTGAGCCAGTACAAGGCCCAAATATGCACACTGGGTTGATCACAGCTGCAGAGAGTTAACTGCCAGATGAGAAAATGTGAACTCCTTAAAGCCCAGCTATGTTCTCCCAAAGACAATGAGTTCACTGCTCTAACCAAGAGGAGCTACACTCAGAAGCATTTACAAATTTGTATAGGGCTTGCTTAGATAAGCAAAATTGCTCAGCTGTATAACAATTGCCTTAGCTGCTCTTATCCAAATCAAGCATACCTGATAAGGCACTGGAATTGAAAACTTCAAAGCTACTTAATAAAGCAGGTCTTTGAGCCCTGTCAGGCACTGATAAACTGCTGCAATGGCAGTTTGAGCTTCTGTGTTAATTGTTCAAACAAGTTCAAGTCACATGCACTGCTTTGTAGCAAATGCTGCTAAGAAAATTAAAATCTTTCTATTCTACTGTAAAGCCACTACTGAGGCTGCAAACTCTCCACAGGGAGAGATGATGCCTCAAACTTTCTTCGTTCCTCCAAAGAGGTTTGAGTTGGGTTTTGTGGGGTAGGGTCCTCTCCACCCTATGGAAGCAGCATGGGAACCTGCTGCGGAGTGGAGAATTTCAAATGCCTTTTCAAGGTCTCCACAGTGGCTTTTCTGGACCAGCTCAGGGCACGGTGGTTACTCTTGGCAGCCTCCATCTGAGCTGATGTTTCTCCATGTGTGCAGGAGAAACAAGGACTTTGTGCCAAGACAAACTAACACCAGCTAGGCCAGGCAGCAGGCGAGAGGGTCCCCATCACAGAGTTGTTTGGTCTGGCCCCTTAGTGAACAAAGCTGGGAAATACCTTGCTGCAGTGCCTAGATCAAGGGGAAGAACGTTCAGGGGAGCACAGCACAAGATGGCAGGAAGATTAGTAGCTTTCCCCCAGACTTGAAGGGACCCCTCCTTTCTGGTGGGCAAATATACCCTTGTCGCAGCTTGTTTTGAAGCTTGTTTGCTTTGCAACAAAAACTTTCCAAAAATATCCTTTTGGAACTATCCAAACACCTTGTTTTGAACTCTAATGAAGTAATACAAAACTTAAAACAAGATGCTAACTTATCAGAACATGCAGGTTTTACCAAAACAAAGAAGAAAAATAGTTGGGAACCAGAAGGAGACAGGTTTCTATGCAATGTTTCCATTTTAATGAAACTGGATCTTTTCCAAAGGAAAAATTGTTTCAGAGAACACATTTCAAGCAGCTCTACAGGTATGCAGTTAAAGTAAGCCTCAAATAACACTGAGGCAGGGACAGGTATTCACAGGCAGGAACAGCGCTACTTAATCCCAGGATATCCTCTTTACCTGCCTCAGCACAATTAATTGTGTGGATGCAAAATGGAATAGATCAGGGCCTTCAAATCAAAGGTTGCTTTTAGCCCAACCAAACAGTCCCCTGAGTCAGTTGGCCTCAAGGTGACACAGTTTTGGAGAGGGGAGGGATGATTTAAGGTAGGATTGGCACTTAGTAAGTGCAAGGGATCCATTGCTCTTCACCAGAAAGGTGCCTTCACTCCTGGAAAAATTAGGTGACTGAACCAGCTACAGGCACACTTGGGAAGTCTTAGCACAGAGGAGCAATACTCAGTTTGGAAAAAGATGTCCCCCCCCTCTGGGTCTTTGTGGGTGGGGTGCCTGACCATTTCCTGTTGGCTCGGAAATAAATTTCACCTCTTGGAAAAGAGGGAATTTGCTGCTCTGGCTCAGTCTAGGAAGAGCACATGCCTTCGGAACACGATGTCCCATGAGCTCAGTGGTGTCATAGGGCAATATTTAGCTCCAGGTAGCACCTTCCTGGCAGTACACCAAAGCACTTTGGGCTCTATCGCTCCAGGGAGTGTCCATGTCCCTGCCAGACAGGCACACAGAACCTGGTACATAACATGCACCACCCAGCTGCCAGCCAGTCATCCCAGTCTGCTGGGAAAGTCACTGGAAAGGTGTCTGGCTATTCCACAGGACCAAAGTAAAGTTCTTACTCTGAACAATCCTCCACAGGAGCCAACGCTCCCACTGGGTATAGAGAGACCAAAGAAATCAGATGCTTAAAGGTGAAAGGAGAATTAAGTCGGAAAGCCTCATTTTTTTTTTCAGTTTCTGGAAAACAGCTGGCCAAGAGAATCACAGAATGGCTTGGGTTGGAAGACACCTTAAAGACCATCTAGTTCGAACCCCTGCCAAGGGCAGGGACACCTTCCACTAGACCAGGTTGCTCCAATCCCTGTCCAACCTGGCCTGGAACAATTGCAGGGATGGGGCAGTCACAGCTTCTCTGGGCAACCTGTGCCAGGGCCTCAGTGAAATGACCCCTATTCACAGTCTCCCACTATGACTGGCTGTTAGCTCCAGAGAAGACCAGGAACAGAATAGGTGCTGGTGGGTCAGGATTGAATTATTGTGGCTCAGCTACACAGGGCAGGACCAGTAACAGAGCTATGTAAGTCTAGCAAGGTGTAAGCAGGACAGAGGGCTGTGGGAGAGAATCTCACACAGCCCTTTTCAGCATAAAGCTGCAGTAGGGACACCCGCACTTTCATCAGTCAGGATATTTTCTAGCCTGCACGTGCAGAAGCAGACAGCATTTGATCAGACAGCATTTCTTACCCAGCCTCCTCTCCTTTTCAGCCACGTCACCAAGGTCTTGCGGACGAACTCCCCCAGGCAGTCGACGATGGTGTGAACCATGGCTGGCTGCGCGTGCCGCACGCAGTCCACTGCCAGCCCCGCTGCCACGGCGTACAGAGACACCACCTTGCCCCACGTTATGCCTGTGAAAAGAAGAAAGGTCATTCGGGTTTACACACACACGCACACACACACAGAGCTCAGTCTTGAATAATCAAAGGAAACGGCTCTCCTTCGTCACACGTGCCCGTGCTGCCTGCATGCAGCCATAGTTCAGCATGCTCTCCACCCTGGGGGAAAAGAAATACTAGGGGACCAGGACTGGGGAAAACTCTCCACAGAGAGAGGTAGAATGAAATAAGCTGACCTTGGTATGGTTTGACCACCTCTCAGCACTGGGTGCGCAGCTTTGGGGAAAGCAGCCCAAAGGCCCCACCAGGACAGGGAAGAAGTGCACCACCATGGTTTGTATTGCCATTGGCTCTCAGCCACGCACAGGTTGCACAGGAGGAGATGGAATTCAAATAGTTTGAACAACCCGGGGTTTTTGTCATCAGCACAACCCTTTAACACCCTTTAGACAAAGTGTTCCTGTTTTTTTCTAGATTAAAGAAGAAAACTGTTCCAATGTGACAGGCAAAGCACACGAGATAAGCATCTTCAGTTCTTCCATGGCACCAAAACAAAAAAGGGAGGCAAAGCTACAGGGCCAAGAGGGTTCACAGAATCACAGTTGGAACACAGGATTCATAGAATCCTGAGTTGGAAAGGATGCACAAGGATCATCAAGACGAACCCCTGGCCCTCCACAGGACAGCTCCAACAATCCCAACACGTGCCTGAGAGCCTTGTCCAAACACTCCTTGAGCTCTAGCAGGTTTGGGGCCATGACCACTGCCCTGGGCAGCCTGTTCAGTGCCCAACCACCCTCTGGGTGAAGAGCCTTTTTCTCATATCCAATCTAACCCCCCCCTGACATAGCTTCATGCCATTCCCTTGGGTCCTGTCACCAGAGAGCAGAGTGCCTGCCCTTCCTCTTCCCCTCATAAGGAAGCTGTTGCTCAGGGTTGCCATCCTCTTCAATGTAAGGAGTATGCCTCCGTCTCCACCTGAAAAACAGGTAGCTTTAAGAATTTGTCCACTCTGCCTACAATACTTAACATTGCCTATCCTACCCCACTGAGGGCAGTGCAGGGATGGAGGGTCAGTCAGTTATCTAATCTCCCAGAGGACAGCCTTCCTGCCAGGCTGACCTGCCTGCAGCAAGAGCTCCATGGAAGTTGTCCCAGCAGCAATCATCTTCCTGTCAGTGCCAGCGATAAGCGCTTGAGCTCAGCTCTGGGTACCAGCCAACTTCCCGGGGTCTCCCCCACGCTTTACCAACACCACTGGGCATAAACCCTTCGTGCTCAAACATCCCAGCCAGCTGTCCCTCATCAGGCTTTTATCAGGACCAATGACCTGGAAATGCAACCCTTTTGCTCCCCTGCAGAACTGCCACTGCACAATGGCACACTGATTTCCTTTGGATCGGTTAGGAAGCTGAATTCCCCCCATGCTTTGTTATCTGGAATAGCCATATTTATCAAGCATGCTGTGAAGTATTTTACAGTGTTAGGTCTCTGTGGAATCTGTCCAAGGTCTCTCCCAAACATAGTCAGAAGCCTGGTGAAGTTCCAGTGTTTAAAAGTCACACAGAACTGTTCTACAGGGTTGCAACGAGAAAGAAAATGGGTGAGAGGATAGAAAGATTTGATCAGTGACTAGATCTGAGGACCTGGAGGGGTTAAACACACCACTAGAAAACTGGATGTGCTCAGCAAGCAAAAATACAATTTAAATGGGGTAAAGAGTCTCCCTCTTTCCTTCATTGCACTCTCAGATCCCCAGGCACCCCCATCTCTGAGATGGAGCTCCAGCCTCCTCACGGGTGTTCTCACTGCAGCAGAGCACCCCATATTCCTCAAAAAACATGCAGATTTCAGAGCACTTCCACAGTTCTTCCACTTAGTGACTCAAAAGGGACACTCACACTAACACCTTTAAGAATCACTTTCTTTTTTTTCCTTAAATAAAAAAAGTACTAAACTTTAGAAGAACTCTTCAAATGTCAGTCACAGGAATACCTTGTTAGACTGGTGAAAATCTATTCAGTGTTCCAAAAAAAGCCACTTTTCACTCATGACTAATGTAAGATCAAAATGTACAGATGATCCTTTCGTGAGGCTCTGCAGCAACAGTAACAGCAGTAGCTCAGTGTCCCCTGTGATATTGTTCCTCCCCAGCACTATCCCCGAGACCAGAGGAAGTTATTAATACAACTAAAGTGACTGTTATTCTTGTCCTGGTTTTATTTGCCAAGCGGGCCCTGCAGTGTCCCTTCCCCGGAGCTGTCACTCAGGAAGTTCACTGCCTGTGTGGCATTCACACTATTTATCTGCCTTTCTCACATTGTGTGTCACCATGGCAGCCAGTAGAACGAGCCAGAAAGAGACTATGAAACCACATAAGAAAACACTAGACAGAGGGGTTCTCCCAGCAAGAAAGAGTCCCAGTACAGGTCAGTATGTCTCTACCTAATGAAAGAGGCTTCAAGGGGTTACACACCTTGCTGATGATACCTCCAGGACTAGAGCCTCAGTGGATTATCCTCAGCTTTAGTGTAAGCCAGTTTTACAGTTCTCCATCCCTGCAGAAATGTGGATCCTTGCATCTCGAGTTACATGAACCAAAGTTACCCAAAATTCCAGGGAGGAGTTCACTGGCTTATTCCCAAGTTTACGGCACTCTAAGTATCTGAAGCAAGTCCATTAGCTCTGAGATATTTACATGGAAGTAATGAAAACTGACAGGGCTGAGGTCACTCTGGTACAGAGAGACAGCTGCAGTCTTGGTTAACTTTGTTTTAGACCCAAGTTTTTCTTTCCAGCAGAAGAAAAGTGCACCCACAGCCAGTGAAAGATAAAGCCTCAAGAGACCCATGACTTCCCTAGTACACAGTTTACTCTAAGACACGTCAGTCCAGGGAGAATGGCAAAGAAGCCCTTCAGCTCCAGCTTCCCTGCCAAGGTTGTTCCAGAATGGTACCTGCTGCAGGACTTGCACGAGGTGAGGGCTTCCCCGGCACACAGACAGAACCCCTCTCCCTTTCACCAGACAGCAGAAAGAGGACAAGCTGTTGGCCAATGCTTATCATGGTGATGGATGTGGAGAGCTTGGCGGTCACATCCACTTTCCAGAGCGTGCCCAGCAGGGTCAAACCAATCTTTCAGTCTGCTTTTCCTGTTAGCAGCACAGCCAGGCCATGGGGGCAGGGGGAGGAGGAAATTCCCTCCTGATTTTCAGATGTCTATTGTCACTGCTGGAGGCAGAAGATGGAGACAGCTGGCTGGGCTCCTCATCTGCAACAGCAGATGAGGAAAAGAGCCTATGCTCTTTTCACACCTGATGTAGGGGAGCCCTGAAATAAGGGAAGAGCAGACACCTCCAGCACCTGGGCCTGTGACTGGTCCCCCTGCCAAGGAGGGCTCCAGCAGCCATCCAGCCCCAGACAGGACAGGGCAAGGGAACATGCTTCAGCAGCCCTCCTCTGCACTTTCCCAGGACACCAGCTGCATTACCTTTTCTCTCTCAAGGACTCCCTTGGCAGGGGCAGAGGAGCACAGTCTACTGAAAGGGCAGTGCCTCTGTCCCCCATGATGTTCAGGCCAGGTTCAGGGTGACACCAGTGTCATGCATCCCTCAGCATAAGCTGGAATTGCATCTGGCCAGTGCGCATGAGCAGTGAAGACACATCATCTTGCTCCAAATTCCTCAAAAAGCCTGGCTGCCATCCACGCTGGGTGAAATGGGCACACGTCACCTGGCAAGACAATCCATTCATAGGGCTTCCCACTGCATGGACTAACATGCACAGGAGCTAACAACAACAGGGAAGGGAAAACTGGTCCAGAAGGGAATGATCAAAACAGAGAAAGCTCCAAAACTTCTGCTCACAGAGATGGAACAAAAGGATATGGAAAAAGTGAAGAGCTGCTTAGAAGGCATTATAAAAAATAAGAAATACAAGTTGCAGACTCAAGGCCAGCCATGGAGCTGAAAGTATGTAAACACTGGCGAGCCCAGGGGAAAATGAATTAGCAGAGGAGGAGTGCTCTTGAAAGTGTTCCTGCTCATATGAGCTCGTCTGCCCCAGGGGAGAGCTCAAGAAGCCATGAGACATGGCTGTGTGGTCTCAGAGCACCACACTACCCGAGGTTACTCAAATAAACTTCCCTCTGCTCCACTCGGCATCAAAGCCTCGCTCGCAAGTCAGACCTAAAAGAAACACGATCCAGTGCTACATTTCAACAGCTGGAAGAATACAGCCAGACACAATATACTTTGGTGGAGAGAAAGAAGCCAAGAGGCATGTGCACGAGGAAGGGAGCTCAAGTCATAAGGCGGAAGAAATGAGGGAGCAGTAGGATGCATTTCTAACAGCATTCCATAGAGTGACAGAATGGTTTGGGCTGGAAGGGAACTCAGAGTTCATCTCATTCCACCCCAGAATCACAGAATCAACTAGGTTAGAAAAGACCTCTGAGATCATCGAGTCCAGCCTATGACCCAACACACCTGTCAACCAGACCATGGCACTGAGAGCCACATCCAGTCTTTCACCAGCCTAGCAGCTCTTACGAGCAGCAGGGAACTGTTTCCTTAGGAAAGGAAAACGCATGCCCCTTTTCTACTTTTGTTTCTCCACCAAGTGACCCCTTCCTTCTGGGATTTATTCGAACAGCTAGTGTAAATGCCAGCTCAGCTAAGCCCCAATCCACAGCCTATTAAAGTCAGGGGACAGTCTCCTGCTGCCTGCAGAGCAGCTTTGAACCACACGCCAGAACCAATGGTAACATCACAGAGGTGATACTGCTGCAGATCCTTCACCATCCAAAGCAGATCAGGGCTCTGAGGTGCACATGTCCACACAGATGAGCTCTCCTCATCCTGAAGAACTAATGGGTTACATGGAAACAGGGGAGCAAACCACAGCTTGAGCCTTACCATAGTCTCTTCTCCCAGATGACAAGCAGCGGTACAAGAGCAAATGGCCTCAAGTTGCACCAGGGGAGGTTTAGATTAGATATTAGGAGAAATTTCTTCACTGAAAGGGTGGTCAGGCATTGAAACAGGCTTCCCAGGGCTCAGACAAGACTTGTAGACAGCATGGACAAGAATGAGCACAGCCAGAGCTACACAGCATTCGAAACCAGACTAGATTGTGGAAGACAGACATATGAAAGATTAAGGAGAAAATCTCTCCAGCAAGAAAGGATGAAAATCCCCTGCTCCCTTACTGGAAATGCATTGTGAGTGACTAGTGGGGCTCCCCAGGCTGTCTAGGCACTGCAGTGCCAGACTGTAGCTGTTTTCTGTACAGTAAAAAACAGCTTGAGATGTTTTAGCCCTTGGTAATTGTCATGAAAATTCAGACAGAACTTGAGTGTCTGGTTTCCTTTGCTCAATAAGAGCCTCTTTCCTCTGAACTATGAAAAAAAAAGTAAGGAATGAATGTCTGGCTGTCACAGCCAACTCTGATTTGCTGGATTTAGCATTAAATGCTGAGTCTTGAGACTGCAGTGGGATCCAGGAACGTTAAAAATCAGCACACTCCTCTGCCACTCAGCAACTCCTACCAACCGAAATTACAATAACAAGTTGATAAAAGCAATTGAATACACAACCCCCAGCAGAGTGGCAGAGACAAGAAAGAATTAAAAACGGGGCATAGAGGGCATGGGAAGGTTTGAATCCACCCCCTGTGCAGCCATCCCACTGCCAGCCATTTCTGCAGCGCAGTGTCCCCAGAGAAGGTGCAGCACTAGCAACAGAGCTTGAGCCTGGGTTTCTACTATGCTCCCAAAGTCTCCAGCATTGCCAGCCTCACAGGGCTGAGCTCAGATTCCATTTTTATTACCCTGAAAACCAAGAGTTTAGTACCAAGAGTTATAATTCCTAGCTTTAATTTTAAACTATCCACACCGTGCATTTGACTCCCGAGCTGAGAAGTTGAAGAGCACCAAAAATGCAGCTCTCAATGAATTTGTCAATATGCATTCAGAGCAGGATTCCTAGAAGGCAGCAGGGCTTTCTCCCCAGCATCATGTCTATGCAGCATAGCAGCACACACAGTCTGCTCCACTTGCAGCCATCCACCTTTCTGGCTTAGGTCCCTGTGTCACTTCAGCTCTGGAGGTGGGCCAGTTCTGATGCAGCCAGCTACAGTCATCTAAGAAGATCACCTACTTGCCTGCAATGCAAATACCTGAGCTTGCCAACTTGACCCTTGTTTTTCTGTAAGCCTTTAAGCAAGTAAAGCTCAGCACCAAGTGACAAGACAGGGCACCTGCCCTTTGAACACAGCCACACTCAGACATTCCTGCCATACTTGCCCGGCTCTTGCTTTCTGAGCTCACAGGGCCTCCCAGGCCAGAGCCATGCCAAGGCAATCTGCATCCCAGGCATCTCTGAAAGGCTGCTGAGGGCTGCAGGACTAGCCACCCAATCCAACTCCATCCATTTCCTATGACACAGCATCAATTTCCCTAACTCGGGGAGTAAATCTGCCCTGCTCGACCTGCCAGGAGCCCTGCCTGAGTAATGCCTCCCAGAGATCTATTTTGCCATTGTTGTGATTCTAGGGAGGATCTGTTCTCTCCACCACAACACACTTCACACGTTCTCCATGTCAGGGCTTCTCCAGGGTGTCAGTGGTTCTGTATAAAGAAGCACAGCTGACTGTCAAGATAAAAAGGTTTTTAGTGAGGAAGCCTGATTGAAAGTACAACAGAAACCTGGACTTCTATACTGTAGTAACTATTCCCAATGTGACAAGAGTCACTGCATCCTGTGATGCTTGGCAGGTCATTGTCACTGGTTCCAGTGCTTTCACACTGCTATGCAAGTTGCTGTCTTTGGTTATTTTTCCTTTTTTTGGGTTTTGTTTCCAGTCTCTAAGATCTACTATCCTTCCACAGACAGCACAAGACATTGTAGAAAACCTAGGATGATGTCAGGGCCTGCCTGACATAAATGTCTGTGTGAAAGGTTTCTCTTCCCTCAATTCCCACAGGCTGCATTTCCAGTCACTGGCAGGGACTGTTTCCAGGGGAGGCTGAGGTATCCTTGCAGAAACACAGCACAGGGCATATCTTTGCTTTTGACCATCATTGCTGGAACCAGTCTAACAGCAGCAGCAGAACACTCACATCTAAGCAGGGAGAAAGTTCAAAGTACCTGCCCATCTGGAACAGCCTTCAGGGCCAAGACTTTACCAATATGAGAAAGGAGAAGCATCAGACTCCATTGCAGTTCTGGCTATTGCTGTGGGAAAGGAAGCCAGGAGGAGAGGAACTCCCTTGTGATGAGTTGGTTCTGGCTCCCAGCATCAGCAGCATGAGCTGGAACAAGGGAGTCTCCCATACAATGAATCTTCTGCAGCTGCCAATGGTGAGCAAAGGAGCTTGGAATGAGTGACCTACCCATGCAATGAGGTAACACCACCTCCTATCGAGGAAGGGCTGGAGGTGCCTTCTAGAATGAGCCAGAACCTGCTGGGAGGATATAACAACACAGGGCATTTCCCTGCCAGAACAGAGCTGAGAGGAGCTCTCATTAAATCATTAAAGCAGGGCACACTGCCAAACTGCCCACAGCCCTTTCAGAAACCAGGCCCCACCTTGCAGGCTACCCCAGAAACATGCCTTCTCCGAGACAGGTGGCTCCATCCTGTTCTTTTCCACCCAGCCCTGTCTGTGGATCTGTCCGGGCACGGTACCTGCGGTGAAAATCTGGGCAGCCACTGCCAGGAAGGCGTCCGTCACCACCGTCTCCGAGTGCAGGGAGATGTTCAGCTGGCGGGCGATGTTCCGGTACACGTTGGGCCGAATGTATTCCAGCTCGTCCCCTGGAAGCAAACAGCCAGGAGTCAGCACGCACAACACCAGGTCCTGCTGTAGGAATTACTGCTGGGGCCACCCCACAGATCCTTGCAGCCAAACAGACTGAACCCCAGCTCCACCTGGGTTTAAGCAGGCAGCGGAGTGCTTAGGGTCGTTTAGATGCAATTCCCTACCACTTGCACCCTCCTTTCCCAATATCCCCTGTGCCTGGCACTTCTAAACGGAGTGGGGACAGCCCATGGCCCTGTGGCAGTGATGTAGCTGCAGTAATCCCCGAAATGCTGTTCCCAGGCTGGCTGCCTGGCTTTCCTTCAACACAGGAGACAGTCTCCAGATAAGCAAAGCTGTTTCATTTTATTTCAGAAGTGAGAAAGAGGCACGTACATCCATGTAAGCTTTTGGGAGATACGCCCTTTCCCAGCACCCCGTCAGGCTTGTACAAAAACGCCTGAAAGCACATGAGAGCAACTCAAGAATGCTGGAGGCTGATGAAAGCCAAGGATCCACCCAGAGCTGCACAACACTAATTGAGCAAAGAGACTCTCAGCTCAGCTATTTTACACTCACACAGGCAGAGCATTGATCTGGAGTTCTTTCTCTCCTCCCAATGGTTAAAGAGAAGTTCATTTGCATGACTGACTCCTCAGCACCAAAGTTCCTGACACATACAGACGTATGCTTTCACCTCCACAGCGTTTCTTCCCCAGCTGGGAAATGGCTGGAGGTGTCAGGCCAGCTTGAAGACCAAGATGGAATTACTAAGGACAAACGGAGAACTCCTCCCACAGGACTGAGCAATGGAGCTGGGGAAACAGCAGTAAAGCTTTTCCTCTGTAGCAAAACAAACCGTTTTTGAGTAGTAGAATTAATAAAACCCAGTTTCCAAGGGATTTCTCTCTCTACAAGGGATCACACATATTTAATGAAGGTTTCATAGCTGCTGTAGGAGCATGGCACAACACATCACATGGGATCAAGGCCCTTTGTGCACAGAGAGTCCTATTTGATGTAGATTTAGGACACACTGTGCTCTTCTGCACAAGGGCGCTCTGGGAAGAGGAAGAGCTATCCCAACAGCTTTACATCCCACTGCAAGATCCAGGTGACTTGTCCCAGCCAGAGGGCAACTGATCCTCCTCAAAATTTCATTTGTATGGGAGCTAAAAAGGAAGATGCCACCACAATCAGGAGCTTGTTTCAGAGTCATTAGCTACAGATCCTTAATTCATTTAACTGGCACTCAGCACAGTCAAAACCCAGCTCTACAGAATTCCACAGCTGAGCTCTCCTGGCTCTTTCTGAGTGTGGGATTGTCCCAGTCTAATGGCAAGAGGAAATCCTGCCAACACATGGTCAGCAGAGATAAGAAGAAACCTTAGTTGCAGCACTCAACAGCTGTTTTCTCCTCACAGGCAGCACAAAGGCTTCCTGGTAAATGTAAGGAAATGGGGATAGCCCTAGTCAGCCGGGAGGGAGGCATGGGAGGCTGGGATCAGCACTTGGTAGCCTGCCACTGTTACGGCTTCTAATAAGCAGTGCCTGGAGGCCCCAGATGAGATCAGGGTCTGTTTGGAGGCACATATGCCCCACCCTAGAGCAAGGCACAGGGCAGACAGGAGCATCTGGGGAAGAAAAGCATTCCCTGTCCCAGCAGCTGTCTCCTGCAGCACGTTACATTGGTGCTGGTCTGCGGTGCCCTTGTTCAGATGTCCGACTTTGCAACGTTTAGAGCAATTCTGGGGCTTCTCCTCCTTCCTCCAGTGATTATGGAGGACTCAGCAGGGAAGCAGCGACAGTTCCCATGCGCAGAAGCTCCTTGTAGTGGTCGAAGGGCTTCCCTGGGCCTCGGCCAGAGGAAATACAACTTCAGATAAACCAGACCTCTGACACACACAGCAGGTCAGTCTGGGGTGCCTCATTTGGCCACATCATTAAGTTTTACCGCTTCTGACTCATTAATTGCACTAATTAGCTGCTAAGCCTCACTGAGCTGATGGGCTCTCGCTCCCCAAGACCGCAACTGCATCGCCTGTGCCCAGCACCTCTGCTGGCCCATCTCTCAGTTCATTGGACTCTCTACATGCAAAACAGCTAGCAAATCCTCCAGCTTCTCATCTCCACAGGCTTCTTAGCACTATCACGGTGGAAAAAAACTGGCCTGGCTTGTTGCACTGCTTAGGAAATGGCTAAGGACTCCCATTCCTGGCAGGTGGCTGGATACCACTCAGCCTTGTGCCGGTGAGAGCAGCAAAGGGGAAAAGAAAGGGATGGGCCATGTGGCAAGTGGAGTTTCTGAAGAAACAGGACAGAAACAACTCTTCATCCTAATGAGGAGGAACTGCTCACCCTCCTTGTTGCATAGGTACCACATGGCGCTCTCCAAACAGATTTGCTCAGAGAAGGCGCCAAGTTCTGAAGGCTATCAGCCAAATCTTTCCATCTGGACACAGATAAGTAATAGGAGAGTCATCCAGGAGACGCCTTCGGATCCAGTGTGCCACATGCTTGCCCTTTAACATGTTCCTGGCCACCCACAGATCTAGTTGAAAGCAAATAAATCTCAACCCTCAACCCAGGCAGAAAGGGAGGACAAAGGGGCAGCAATATTGACAGAAGAACAGAAAAAAAAATCGCCCTAAGACCAAAACAAAAACAGAAGTCAGCATGGGAGAGAAAAAGTGAAAAAGAACAAATTAAAAAAAAAATATTCAGTTAAAAGAAACACAACTATGCCTTAAGAAGAAACTTGGGATAATATCAAACAGAGGTAGAAACAGGAGAAAGTGGGGAGACCAGCCCTGGTCCTGAGTTTGTTAGGCCCAGCTAAAGGTTACTTCACCAGACTTACTTGAACTCTGGTGTAATTAAATCAGATGCAAATGCTGGTGGTAGTTTCCAAGCCAGCTGTGAACTAAAACACCAGCCTGCAGGCAAAGAGGGCTGTTGGAAGCAACTTCCAAGAATGAGGGTGGTGGGATCCCAAAAGACAGACAGCTAGACTGGAGCACAAAGGATGCTATAACCCAAAACAAAAGGACAGGCAACTGACAGCATTAGAGGGTGCTCCTGGTGCACACACGGCTCTAGAGCATGTCTTCAAATCACAGCCTTCAGGCATGACCTTCAAAGTGCTCTCCCTGCAGCCCCCGCAGTCGCTGTGCCATGAGGGGGGCACCAAATGGCACCATATGACAGGCAACATCAGCCAACTCCTCCTTGCTCCAGCGAAAAGCAAGAAACTCAGGTCTTGCAGAACGATTAAGGTAGACAAAGGAAAATTAAAAACACACTGTCATTCAAAAGCAGCTTTCATAAAATCTCCAACGCACGTTTTGTAAGCCAACTACCCCCAAATTAAAGGTCCTTGCAGCTGGGTGAGCTACTGCTGAAGCCCAAGTCTAGAGGCAGCAGTGCCCTACTAGATGCCAGGCTGGGTTGCCAGATTGCATCATGGCAGCCAAGTCACTCAGATCTGGAGAAAACACCACAAGACTGCTTAAAATGTCCAGCTGAGAAAGACTGCTGGAAATACTGTGACAACTGTTACACAGCTGGAGTCCTGTGCAGACAGAATTAGTTTGATGTTGGGCTTTCTTGGACTGCATCATGATTTTGAGTTGTTGCAAGTCCTCAGAAAAAGGCAGCTCTGCAGAAACCTTGTGCTGAGCAGTGCTCCAAGGGACATGAGAAAACCCAAGCAAAGGAGCTGCTTAGGGAAGATCACCAAAACCAAACGCCCCAAGCAGAAAAGAAAAGGAAAAACCTCTCTATCATCACATTAAAAGCCTCTTCCAGAAACCTTAGTCTGGTGCAAATTGCTCCACAAAGTTCCAGCTCCCCCCCGTAGCAGCAGGGACTCACCTAGTCGCAGCAGGATGGTGGACACCTCGGCCAGCTTACCCCCAGGCACCGGGACGTTGTACTCGGGTTTGCTCCAGCTGACACCCGCCCGAATCAGCCTCGAGTTTATGTAGTCTCTGCAGAGAGCCTTGGCTTGGGACACAAGCTCCTTGTCAGTGGGAGACCTGTCAAAAACCTCCATCACTTCTGCAGCAAAGACTGAGGAACGGCGTAGCATTTCCATCCTCAACTGCTGAACCCGCACTGGCTGGAAGGCTGAGCCAATGCCTTTGGTGAGCAATCCTCTGGTCTTGTACTTTGTCACAACTCCCAGCAGCTCTTCTCCACAGGCCACTTTTTCATTTTACCTGGTGAATAAAAGCATCTGTAAGTCCTCTAGCATCGCAAAGATGTAACTCGGAAGCCCAAGAATACAGTTGCACTAAAGTCAGTAGTATCACATTTGTCTCGGTCCGTCTTACAGACAAGGGTCAAAGTCTTTCATCTTTTGGCCACTCTGACTTCCCTTCAAGAACCCTGGCAGCACGGTCAGGGCTGCAGCATGGAAGGGCTGTAGTTTTGAACTCTCGAGGTGTTTCCTCTTTTCCAGTTCAGATTTGGCAGTTCTAGAATTACCCATCAAAGAGACTACATGGTCAGAGCATGGAAACAATTCATTGAATGGGTAGACAATCTCAGCTTGTTTCAATTAAACTGGAAAGAAAAAAAAAGAATCCCAAATACCGGCTACAGTTACCTCAAACAGATGTCAACAGACATTCCAGCTCAGTAGGTCATGGATCTTTCTGAAGAAATGGCACTATTGCAAAAATAGGGGTATGGGAGCATTTGAAATGTTTCAATAGAGACAGTTCACCACATTCTCGGTTTAGGTTTTGGTTCTGCCACTCTTTTTCCCCAAAGCAACGTGCATACTACTTCTTGAAAACCTCTAGGAGTAGCAGAGAGAGCAAAACAGAAAAGTAGATTTTTACAAAGCTTTAAAAAGAGCAACTTCAACATTTCTTCAGAGGTCCCTCAATTCATCTGAGTTTTTAGCCCAGTGCTGCTTTCCAAGTCAGTCAGACCAGTCTTTATTCAGATGCTAGTAAATGCATTTTTCAGTCTGCAGTTTCAGACACCTACTTACAATGATGATTTTCAAACAAAATAAAGCCAGTTATTTCTATTTATCCCAAGGAAAAATATATTTACCTCTCATGTTGCACTTTTTCCCCCTCAGTGATTTCTTTTTGGGTTTGGTTTCACGTTTCTTTAGAAGATCTGCATCACTGAATACCTGGTTTAGGATTCATGGGTTACTGTCACACTTCTCTGGAGAGCACTAGCCTCCTCTGCTGTGCTCTCTGCAGGGCTCACGCCAGTGCCTCCTTCCCCACCTCTGTCAGCCCTGCATCCTGGCTGCACTCCACTGGGATCCTCGGGGCTTGCTCTCCCGCTTTTACAGGGACCCAGGCACAGAGGAAAGCTTCTGGCTTTAGCCTTGTAAGGAAGATGAAATAACCGGGAGGTGGGGTTGCAGCAGCCAGAGAGCGACGTTTTCTCCTCCCCTTTCTTCCCTCTTAAGGAGGTTCTTCGTTTTTCTTTGTTGGGCTTTGTTCAAGGACTCGACTTCGGGGTGAGAGTGAGAGCATAATTTCTAGAGCAGGTTACCCCCTGTGATGAATGCACTGCTGGAACAGGAACAGCTCCTGCTGAATTCCCACAGCAGCTTTTGCAGAGTTGATGTCGGACAGTCATTTTCATACGGTAGCCAAGTGGGGGAACTACACATTGTCATACTTCAACTGTGGGTTAGTTCTACCAATTCAAGCCCTTCCATTGTCTTGGACTTGGTCCCTGCCCATGGCAGGGGGTTGGAACTAGATAATCTGTAAGGTCCCTTCACACCCAAACCATTCTGTGATTCTATGATGATTTTATGATTAACAATGAGAGCCACAGCTCGGGGCTAAGGCAAGCAGCGTTTGCATTCCCCCAAGCTACGAGTAGTCTGGTTAAAAAAAATTAGGTGCGTTTGCTGATAGGAAATAGTTTTTCCAGAATGAAGTGTTTTGCAGGAACATGTCCATATTATCTCAGTGTGTTAAGAAAACTAACATATAAAGTTTAAGGAAAACATTTCAACTAGTTCCACCATATTTATAAATTAATTTCATCGTCAACTTCTTGTTGCAACGTTATGGTACTGATGCCACGGTGCTCAACTTTCTTCCATGTGCACGTGGAATAAACCCCATCTCAACAAACTACATACAAATGTTGGCTTTTTGTGTTATGATTTGAAACAAAAGAAGTTTTAGTAATAGAAGTTTCCTGCAGCCAAGAAATTCTACCAGCCCAAGCACAAATTCTCCCCAACAAATAACAATTTTTAGATTAACAACTGGGTATGTGGCATGTTCAAAACACAGAAGTGAGAAGTAACTGTTGCCATCTTGTTGCCTTCGAGAAAAGACAGAGGCGAGTACACCCCTCCAAAGGTGCTGATCACAAAAATGCCTCAAGTATAACCTGCACCACTGCTGGCCTCAAAATTGAGGGATAAAAAGGAACAAAAGAGCTGCATGAAAAAGCCTTATTATGTGACGTATCGAACGCTCTGGCCAGCATCCAACACGCAACTCACGCACAGATTAACACAGAGCAGGTTGGCTGCCATTAACTGGATTGCTGGAGACTGCTTTGCTGTGCTGGAAGAGGGCTGAGGTACCTGATACCCTGCAGCAGTGGATCTTCTTTCTGAGCTGGCTTTTTCTGGGAAAGGAGCAGGGTTAAGGAGAGGTACGTGTATGCAGCAGTAGCCATCTGGGACCTCAGCTCAGCTCGATGTGATAACGGTAAGCTGGCAACAGTGACTGTGCATGTCCAGCATTAGATGTGTGTGCTCAAAGATTCTCTCAGAAATCTGGTTTTTTATCCAGTAGCCTTCCTGAAATTTAAATATAGACAGAGATCCATGCCATAGAAGCTGAAATCAAGACTACAGAGATCCTGTGCTACTGTCCACCCCCAACCCAGCCCTTCCCTGCAGAGTGGGCCTGATATTCTCTTGGAAAATCATATTTTTGCCTTTGCAACCCTGATGGCTGAAAAAATCATTAAAAGTTATATCTTAGCTTCCTGTAGCAGCTGACAGCTTGAAACAGGAGCCCTATCTAAGCTGTCCCTATTCAGTAGGGCTCTGAAACAAAAATGAGTGCTTAAATATCAGTATTGCTTAACTAATGATAATGTTTCCCAGAATTCTGGCAAATGTGCAAGTGCCACAGTGCCTCCCAGCTCCCCGCGGGTGCCAATCTCATCCCACGAGTTCCCTGCCCAACTGTCACAGCATGCAGCACCCCCTCAACTTCCACCCTGCTGCAAAGACACAAAAACTAGAAGCGTGAGGGCTGTGTATAATAAACCAAACTTTGTTACAAAAAAAAAAACCCCAACCAACAGTGCATGGTATTCTACCTGTGTTATTTACACACTAAAAATACAGCCTCACACTGAAAGATGCCTCTATAAGTAAAAATAGATGAAACTACAGCATACAGTGCTCAGCTGACTGCAAAAGGACAGGGCGTTACAATCCAAGGAACCGTTGGTGTAATTGGAGCCCCTTTTTCCATAGCATGTTTATGCTTAGAGACTTGATCTATAATGGGAAAACCCCTGTGGCAAAGGAGTGACAGGAAACAGTGCAAATGCAGCTTATATCACCCCAAACCACTGTTCCCAGTGTAGCTATCACTGGCATGACAGTGCCCTGGCTGGAACAACAGGCTTCAGGCCACAGCTCTTGCCTTTCTCAGGTGGGGTGACCAAAACAGCTTGGAGCACTCCTTTAATAAAAGGAGTTTAATAAAAACCTTTAATAAAACCAGGGGGCTACAGAGATGCGACTACATTTTATAAGCATGTCAAATGGGAACAAACCCTGGGGAAGCCACATCAGAGAGAACACAGCAATAGTCTAAATGTGGACAGCTTCTGCTCAATATTAAATAGTTTAACTGCAAAAGAAGGCAGTCTCTGGAAAGGCTTTTTAGCAGTTGCAGGGGAAGCAAAACAACTAGTGAATTGTGAGCACACTGAGTTTATGAAAGGGTCTGCATGATATGAATGCCCACAAGAGCACAAGAATAGCCCCAAGGGCCCTAGGAGGTCATTCAGCCTTGTGTTCCCACAGCCTGGTTCCTACTGGAGGTATTGTTCTGTCTCACTCTGCAGTGCCTGTCCCAGCCACCTACAATTCCAGCGAAAACTACACACTGTAACACAGGGAAACGATGTTATAAACACCTGCAGAGCGAGGACTTTGAGAAGCAGAGGGATGTGCCAAAGCCACACAGTTCATCTCCAGAGAGCCAGGGAACCAACCCTGCTAGCCTCTACCTTCTACAAGAGGTTTCCCTTCAGAGACAAGATGCTCTGGCAAAACCCTGGCACTGTAGGCAGACCAGTGCCTTCCACCAAACCATCCCTGAACCACGTTCTGCGTTATTTCACCCAGTTTAACATACAATCTTATCCCCACTGGCTCTTCCTGTCTGATTTTTGCAGCAATACTTTGAGTCTGTGTTTGCAAAGTTATCACTTACCACTGTGAAAACATGTACAGTGTCAGGCTTTGGGCTACAAAGCTGTACAGGGAGGTTGGAAGAAACCCTTCTTTTCACACAGAAATATTTTGCCAGCTGCAACAGGAAAACAATACATGGAAGTAGCAGCTTAATGGGACCTAACCAAAACAGTGAGGCTTTTTGAACATTTTTCTTGTTTCTGAAGGCCTTGATTCAAAGCCTCCTCACAGCCAAGCAGTGGGTTGTATAAGTTGCTTGATGGGAGCACCTGGGAGCACCTTTCTTGGAGTAGGACTTTGCAGTGCAAAGTGTCACATGCCAGACCAAAGAGGCTGTGCCACAGTGAGCTTATCTTCCACAGCCATTAGACAATTCTCCTTCATGAGGATACAGGTCTAGTGACTTATACACATCAAGTTTAGCGACCAATCCATTATTTTGGTTTCTGACATAGATTAGTGCTGATACCCAGTATTTTCTTCTCTTAACCCACTGCCATGCCCACTGTCACTGTAGACACAGCTTCTCTGTTATCCATATGTTTTGACAAAGGCAGAACAGAGATATGGTGTACTCCAGAACTGATGTACAAACACAGTGAAGGGGAAACTGTAGCAGGAATTTAACGTTAGCATATGAGTTTTATCATAGAACCTGTATTCCTGAATCTTATTCTGGAAATGTCGTCCAAGAGGAGTTTACCCAGTTGTTGCTGCACAGGTAGCACTGAAAGACAGCAGCTTCTAGCTACATCTAGGACTTTGATGATGCTGCATCATCCACTTAAGAACCTAATTGCATAGATATAACTGGGGTTTTTTGTCTCCTATCTTCTAATTTGCTTCCACATGGCACATTTTACTGAATGGATCATCTCATAAGCCAAGAAGGCAGCAGACACAAAGAAATAAGAAGTTTTAAGTTATTCAACAGCTGTAGCTTTGTTTTGAAACACAAATAAAATATTTACCACCAAAATTTCTCTTTTGGTAGGAAGAAAATGTCTAATGAGGTCACTGTCCCCAGGAGAGCAGAGTTCTCTTCCCTTTCAAGATCTAACCAATACAGGTAGAGAGTAAGCCTCTGACTCATTCTAAGAATTGACCACCCAAAAGGTTTGGGAATCAGTTCACACTCACACATGGGATACATGCACATACACAGGTAAAGACAGGAAGATGCCTCTGCCTGCAATGATCCCAAAATCTCAAGAGCCTGAAGTGGGTGCAGGCACTTCTGCACTGATTCAGCCACACTTATGAGCTCTGACATTTATCTGTGGCTGCAAGACACGTGCTAGCAACACAGACTTGTCCCACAGAGGCAAAGGGATTGCTGGATCTGATAATCACAGGGCAGGACTCAACCCTGCACACGTCTTCATGCCCTAAACCTGCTCCAAGGGATTTAGACTCAAATTTTTCTTATCCAGAACGTAATCCTACTTGTAATTAAATGCTTAGTGACTTCTGGAAAACCTCTTCAGGATCTTCAGTCTTAACCTCCGTGGCTGGGCAGGGCAGCAGCTATGCTCTTAAAATAACTGTCTTTTCAAGGTCTCAGACAAGGAGGGAAGGCTGATGCCTCTAGTCTGCACAGATCAATGTTGCAGTGCGTGATTGCTTCATACACAGTATTATACCAGAGAGCACCTCCATTAGGATGGATTAGTTTAGTTGTTCCACCTTGATTGCCAGCAAAACATTTCTACATACTTAATACACCTCTAGACTTTGTACAACTCCATGCTGACAAAAGTTTTCTTCAAGGCTGCATTGGTAAACAAGATTTACCCCTCTTACTCAGTGGAGCAGTATAGAGCTGGTTTTTTTCAGCAGCAGGGTCAGCTACAGCAACCTTCGTGTCCAGCTGCTCATACTCATTCCCAAATTGTCCTTCCCAATTG